CTACTTAAGGCCAATGTCTTGCCTATTTAATTTAAAAATTATAATACACATTACAATATAAATTTACCATTTGTAAGCAAATGAACCACAAAAATTAAAGTCATTTAAATATTCTAGTGTGGTATTTCAAAACAAAAACAAAGCAAAATAAGATTAAAAAAACCAATGTACATCACTCATTAATTCACCTTCCCATTATGTACTATGGCTCTGGATAAAAATCATGGAAATGAGACCAAATACTGGTCTGCAGCTAGCAGGCTGACCCCAAAATATTCAGTGCTCCATTATGCATAAGTAACCCCTAAGCTGGTATCAGCAAAGGGTCTTCCTCCTTACAGGGTTCAAATTTATTACTTCAATAAACGTAAATTGAAAGAATGCAAATCAAACTTTCTAAACGTACAAAATTATTCTCAGGTTTTAAAAGCCTTCAGAATCTTAGGGTTAAAAGGGGTAGCTAAGAGTTCTTTTGGTAAAGTTTTAACACCCCATTTTACAGATGGGGAAACTAAGGCTTAACTCCCAGAGATTTTCCTGCTATGCACAAAAAACCCTCTGCTCTTTTCAGAGTGAAGCAGAAATGTCTAATGCTCGTATACCCACCCAGCCAAATGTGTTAAGAAGGTGCAAAAAACTACCCCCTAAAAAATAAGTTTTGTGCTTCTGTTCCTCAGGGCATCTATTTATCTTAGCTTAAAAAAATCCTGGTATTTTGTATAACGCCATTCAGGTAGGCTACGTTCATAATGGTAACAATTAGGAATACCTGGGCCCCAGTCTCTGTTGCGTAACTTTCAGGATACTTTTCACATTTTCTAAATATTTTCTTTTATGTACAATTTGAATGAAAATTCTAAAAGGACATTTAAAAGTAGAGTGCATTGTGAATACTAAATACTAAGATCTAAGAGGGAAAAATGTTTTTATTAAAATGCATTCAGAAGTGTCTGAATTTCAACTCTTAAATACATCTCTTCTTAATTCACAAAAATGAGGTTAAGGAATTTATTTTTCCTTAGAATTACATGTTCTTAAACCAAAGATCTATCTGAACCCTTTAATTCCATCCTGATCCTGTCATAAACACATGCTGTAGAATACTCTAACCGCAGTCCAATTCTTAAGAAGTAGAAGAGAGCGACTGAGATACTCAGTGTAGCAGTTCATCATTTATGTTCGAGTTTTAAACACCAGCGCCTTGAAATAAACATCAGCGTGCAGGTGAATGCAGCGTTCTCAGATAAAATGCCCCGGTGCGTCAGCGTGACTCCTGCTGGTTGTGGGGCCTAGAAGAGACGCTGCCGAGATTCTGCTCTAAGGCCAGACCAGCTCTTTTTCCGGGCTCTAATATTCCGATTAGTACATGTCATCTACCCAAGACAGAGAGCAGAGCCCACACAGCAGCTCAGAATTGCAATACCCCCCTCCCAAGAGGATTTTTTTAAAAGCTCATTAAAAATGTGTGAAGTCCCAGCATTGAGTGCTGGAGAAACAAAGGGTCAAATCTGCTAAACCGTGTTGCTGCCGTCCAAAGCACAGCAGCCTGCCTGGGCTCCCACTGAAAAGGGCCTCCAGTTCAGTGAAATTAAGCTCCTTTCTACTTTGTCTGGCCTTCAGAGACATTTCAATAAACTCCAGAACAGCCGTGCCCTGCAGTTAACTGACTTACTCTTAAGCAGAGGTCCTCCCATTGTCTGTGCAAGTGCTCTATTTGCTCCTTTAAAACCATCACGTCCTCCACAAGAATGTGCTGGGCTAAGTCGGTCTTCATGGTGTGAAGTTCTTTCAAGTTCTGAGTCCAGTTAGCCAAAGACTTCTCTAGTTCCTGCATTTAAACACAAGGGGGGAGAAAAAACCCCAAACCTTCAACTCAAGCTGCTGTTGTTTCCAAACCTGTAGGCTAATCCTTTGATTGGACTCTGGGGGAGGGGAGGCCAGGAAAGGGGGCGGGACTTTCTGAATGAGAAACAGCCCAGGGCGAGTGTCTGCAGTTATGATTGGCCAGTTCACCACCACCTTTTTCTCAAAAGAAAACTTTTCTACCTTTATTTTCATTCCCTCAGGCAGTTCAGATTTTTATACTATTAGTTCTGATTTAAAGTCATGTAGGTCTTTACCTTTATTTAGAGGAAAACAACACACACACACATACACACACACACACACTTTTAATTCTTAAACTTACATGAATATTGTATAAAGTGTGATTTCCCATTTTTTAAAGCACCTAAGAAATGCATTGTTGCTACTGTGTCTATCATAAAACAACAGCTACTGTTCAAAGGGAATTATTTTGACTTTCTAAAAGAAAGTTAAATGAAAGGAAAAAAATAAATTGTTCCCTTATAATTGGCAGAGATTGGTTAGCAGAAAATTTACCCTGGACCTGGAAACATTTATTTTTTAAAATGAAGTATTTGTCAAATTTAAGCTTTCTGAATTCTAGGACTTAATCAAGAAAATCACTTTCACAACAGGGGAGGTAAAAGGAAACAGCCAGAACACTCGAGAATCATCTTTATTTTTAGGGTGCTCACAATTCTTCATACTTTAACACCTTTTCAGGGTNTTTATAAAACTGCTGGATTATTTTAATGGAAGGCTGGGCTCAGTTTCAGCCAAGTCACCCTAATATTTGTCTTCAGCAGACCCTCCACTGCTAAAAAACCATGAATGACTCAGACTTTACTTAGAACGTCAAGTTTTAGGTTGAGATTTAAGGTCTTCTAAGACTCAGCCCCAACCTACCTTTGTAGCTTCATCTCCCATGCCCATGGAGCCTCTTGTCATTTCCTGAACAACTTCCAACTGCTCTACATACCTTTTCACCCACAACATAACCTGTCTCTCTCTGCCACTACAAACACTCAAGGATCCCAGGCCCTCATTCAGGACCATCTGCAAGCACCGCTTCTCTGTGAGGGGCTTCCTAATCCCCTCCCCCTCTCCAGGAAGATGAGATCTGAGCCCTCACACCACTTGGCTTTACGGCTGCTCAGATGTCTGCTCCTATGAACGTAATTGGCTCATCTTACTTCCTGTCTGCGATCCTCCTAGCACTTAGCCTGGTGCCTTTGCTGAATGATCAGGTTTGCTTATGGTTTACAGTAAGCGACAAGGCAAAGGACATGCCAAATCATTAAATGCCAATAATTATTACACATTATTTTCATTACTCCCAATACCTCATTTACTTTACAGGCTGTCTTGTATATTCCACATTATATGTGTGTTCAAAACATAAAGAACTTGCTTGGCCTGAGGTTTTTGGACGCCAGGTTGCAATAAAAATAAAAACAGACACTTTGGTTGGGGTTTGTCTTTGGAGAGAGAATCTGAAAACAGAAAACATTTAAAAGCTGTGAGTGGTATCACTGTCATCATGTTGTGCGGGGAGATAAAACTGTCAGTCTTGTTTCTGTTAAGGTTGTAATCTAGAATATAGCCTTGATTTGCAGTCATAGCTGTGCCTCCTAAGTCCACACACCTTAGGACCAGACGCCCTCTGGGCACTTGGCATGCCCGGTACACACAGAGGATCTCTGCCGCAAGTGTGCCAAGCCCCCGCGGTAGGGACAGCTGGGGACCTGCAGACCAGATCTAGAAGCCAGGCCTGGGCCCTGGCCGACCTGCATTTATCACATACACGCAGGAATAGGCATGATTTCATCGGGGGGAACATGCGAGTCCTAAGGCAGAGTTAGAATTTCTAAATACCTCCTCAAGGATCTCTTTTCAAAATAAGTTTTTAACTCTTGTTTAAACCCAATCTAATTTATGTGAAACCTTAAGCTGAAGAAAAAAATTATTGAAGTGGGATATACTAAAATAGAAT